TCATGACCGTCACCGTCTCGCCCAAGGTATGTATATATATGTACATGTATGTGTGTATCTATTTGTAGACTCCCAGTTATATATATATATATATAGTCTTCATGACCGTCACCGTCTCGCCCAAGGTAAACCCCCTCAAATGTATTAACCGCCCCCACCTCATCATCACACGTATTATATCCCCTCCTTCTATACGATACCTACTAAACCCCCTCCTTTTATACAATACCTATTAAACCCCCTCCTTCAATATAACAATACCTATTTAACCCAGTCCAACCAGCCCGCACCCCTGTGGGAGGTATCTGGCTTCGACGTGCTTGCCTCAGACGTGACTGGTCAGAGGGTCAAGGGGCAAGAGACCTCCATATGGGGTATGCATCAAACCCCTGTACACATATTAAAACCCCTTTTATCTCTCCTATTAATCCCCTTTTGTCAACACACTATAAAGCCCCTTTTCACCTATTAAACCCCTTTCTCACCTATTAACCCCCCACCCATAATAACAGGCATGCACCTGGACAGCCGCCACTACTACCACATCGTGCCCAACACTGCCCGACAGGACGTGGAGACAGACTTCATACTCAGAGTCTTCGCCACCAAGGTACGTACACATGCGTATAGTGTGTATATATAGTATACGTGTGTCATATATGTAATATACATAATATATATAATAATCCACACAGATATATATGTATTTGTATAATAATCTTCTTACTTTCCCCCCACCTATCTCCCCTTCTTTCACACACACCCTTACCCTCTACCCCCTACCCCCTACAGCCCATCGTGCTCGAGTGCGTCAACCCCATTCCCCAGGTATGTATATAATATATATGATGTGTACATAATATATGATATATAACCTATATCCTATGTATTTAACCCCTTTTCTATTTAACCCCTCTTCTATTTAACCCCTCCTTCTATTTAACCCCTCTATTTACCTCAGTTCGCTCTGCGGGGCGAGTGGAGGCGCGTGGGAGACCTGGACTCCACCGGGGGGCCGCTCAAGATCACACACTCCGACGGAACCCCCCGTGACAACCCCAAGGTATGCCCTATAATTCCCTTATATAACCTAAATAGCCCCCTTTACCCTAAATGTATAACCCCCCTTTGTATAAACCCTCTTACTCTCTCTCTATATGTAATCCCCTATCCCCCC